TATATATATATATATACTGCTACAGAAGTTAACATTTTCTTAAACTGCAAATGTATTTCCAACAGATACCTCTCCTCACAAAGCTTTCTCAACTTATATTGCCCTCTATTGGTGCAAATTTTCGCTTGCCACAATCCTTGATACTCCCACTTATTTGTGCATATTGATATACAAATGACTATGCAGCAACCCTCCACCAACAGAAGTGTGACACTACCCCTATATAATCTTGTAGCTGTTAACCACTTCCAAGATTGGTCAGGTCACACACCACACTGGAAGTGGGGAGGATGGGTGGGAAATATGAGCGGAGGTATGTATCTATCAGAGATACATTTTCAGTTTAAGAACATGTTAGCTTTCCATATGATATCATACCTCTCCTCACAAAAACCTTGAATCCCAGTGGAGGTTCTGTGAGTAAATGATCCCCATTTAGGAAGCACCTAAAAGAAAGCCATGGGGTGTTAGAAGGAACTAATAACAACACACCCATGGAAGACCACACCACTTTTGAGCTAGGTATATTCTTCACCCATTTGTAATTTGTCGCTAAAGGGGCAGAAATAACGGAAGAACCCCAAGAAAAGTTACAGAAATAATGAGACCCCAGATGTAGAGTGGCTAGGGCATGAAAGACCTTAAAGAGGAATTCGACCTCAACCAACACCTGGCAATGTACATCAGTTCTACTTTTCACCTCAAAAACAGGTACAAGTAGGGAAGAGGAATTGCCATACCAAGAACCTGCCTCTGTAGGCACACTCCTACAATAAAACCAACATCTGGCAGATGGTAGGAAGTTGGAGGGGCCAGATGGATGTATACATATAGTCCAAATCGTGGCAGCACTGGGAATTTTTCATCCAGTTCATGGTAGGAAGAGGGTAACCAATCTTGCACCTGCAGGAATTCATGTGTCTCATCCAGCTACAGCCAATACCATATCCATTGAGATCCAACATCCAGTGAACAGTAGGAAAATGAAAAGCTCTAGTCCAAAACCTGGCAGCATTGGGAATTTATCTTCCAGTCCATAGTACGAGAAG